TAGTTGGCAAAATTTCCACGGTTTCCGCGATTGAGTGAACAAATTGCTGATAATTATTTAGCCGTGACTGAAAGGAGGAGGAAAAGTCGTCAGCTCTTTGCTCATCATCTTCGTTCATTTTTCCGGAGGGAAATGCCGGATGTTCCCAACATCCATCGTTCGTTCAGATCAGCGCTTAGCATATCATTCATAAGCAGTTCTTTCAGAACTCCTCAACAAAAGCTATCGCCCCAAGAAGAGTACATATCAAAGTAAATCTTCATCAACTTTCAAAAGTATTGGTTCATAAATATCTAGAGCCGCACCAGAAGGTGACCATGTGGATCTCGCATTTGCTCAAAAGAATACTTTTTACTAGAAATAAAGAAGGAAAAAGGTTTTGAGGTTGTAATTTCCCAGAATTTTCAAATTGGCAAATTTTTCCCCGCGGTACGGAATTTTTCTCCCATGTTATGGCTCATATTGGAATTGTCCTGGAAAAATATTATCCGTGAAGTTGAGCATGCTAAGCGCAAAACTGTCACAGGGCACTGCTTTTGTTTCGGAAGAATGAAGGCTAAAGAGAGCCACTGAGCTCTACCATTCGGGCTACTTTCCGAATGCCTCCAACTCTCACTGAAAGCAAACACGGAGAGATTTTTTTCCGGGGTTTTGAAACATGAACCTCAAAGTATCCTCATTGCTCGATTCCAGGAAAATGCTTGTTGATCCTCCTGTTCGCACATCATTCTTGAATCTGTGCGTAGTATCAGCTTTTTTTACAAGTTCTCGGAAAAAAAAAATTCATCTTTTTCAAACAAAGCTTTTTCCATGTAAATTCTTGAACAACAACTTACTCCACACTCTTTATTCTAGGATTTCTTTGTTTTTTGGCAATCTTCTTTTGAAAATCGCTGCCATTCGAATGTAGTAAAAGGAGTATTGGGACAGCGTGTTTTCTGCTGACACACCTGTAGAGCTAGCTAACTTAAGAATTCGATCTCTAGGACAGCTTTCAACCTTATATCCAAAGCAGTGAGCTGACCCTAGCTGTGCGAGCATGTACTTACTGCTGGCAATCAGGCAACTTTCTAAAGGCTTCTAGCCATCCCTAAAATCTAGCCATCCTAAAATTATCCCTAAATCTAACTAATCGGCGACTTACATCCGTTTGAATCGTTATCGATCTCAGTGAACGAGGAAAATGACTTCGGGGGGTACCATAAAATTTGAGGCTATTTCCGGATTTCAATGGTAGTGCTCTCACAGCCAAATGACGCTCCTGCATCTCCATGTAGCAGTTTTTTCAGCAAAATCACCGGGCATAAATCTTCGTTTTCATAAAATCAAGAGCACATTATGACTTCAGGGATCGGGTATTAGTGAAATGTGCTGTACTGCTTCAAGTCTGCGCTAGAATGCGTTTTTTTTGGTACTGAAAATGGCTGTAAGTGTGCAGGATATATACAGTGTTTCGAAATGTTTTATGTTCTAAAAGCTTGTCATTCGTTCAAGGATAATAAATGGAAAAGTGTCTTTCACTTAAACGACTCGGCATTTAATCTGAAATAACGAGAGGGATGGTTCGGGAAGCATCGATAAAATTCGCGTACAGTAGTGATAATTCTGGAATTTTTTGGGAAATTTGGAAATGAACGCTGTACAAGAGAAGCCAAGCACAGAGATACTTATGTAAAAACTCAATATGAAAATGCAACTACAAAAACTAATCCGATTATGGAAAACATGACCGCAGAGTCCGATACACGCAAAGATTTCAGGTAGCTTATTTCCCGGCCTGTAGAGGGGGAATCGGAGGGGGAAATTTGGCAGGATCTAACCAGAATCGTGTGCAGTCCAAGGGGATTTGTAGTTGGACAACGAATACTGAAATTTGATCCAGTTTTCCCTCACCTAAAGTAGAAATACTCTGTAATGGACGAAATTATTTTAGTTCGTTATTTATCGATACGCCATCCCCCTCCTCCCCCACGCCTCCTCCCACCCTCCATTCCTCCTGAAAAAAAGTTTGCGTAATGTGAGTAAATTCAGCTCAGAAACCTCAGTTTTTATCCTAGAATAGATGAAGTAGCTTGAATTAGCCCCGAAATTATCTCCTCGACCTTAAATCCAAATTCAAAATACATTCTCATATTTCTGAACATAGCGAGATTTTAATATTTTACTTTTTATGACAATAATCCTCCTCTTCCCCCCGACAATTTCCATTCAGGCATGAAGATGTTGTAGAAATGGCAATGGACAAGGCGGGGAATCCACATCCATTGTCGCTGCTCGACAGAAATTTTAGTTTATGCTCTTTCGGTCCAAACGATAATGATGTGGATTCGCACAAACACATCTTTGTTAATAAATTACAAACAAAAATATACAAAAACAAAAAATTACACAACAGCTATCTCATGCATGAACTGCTCGCAGATGTTTAACTATGAAGTTACTACAATTCCGAAGCGAAGAAACCAGCACGGAAAAGCTTTAGCTTTCCCACGCTTTCCTTGCAGCACGAACGAGCTTTAGCATCGAATACGCTGAAGAAGTTACAGCTATTGCAAAACGCAGAAAGACAGTTAGAATCTTTGAAAAAGCAAGCTTCTTTAAAAAGCTAACACGAAAGAAACAGAAGACTCTTTTGGAAAAATCTTTTGAAAAAAACTTTTTTCCTAGAATCCCTCCGACATTCACGTATTCCCAGCTGAGCGGACAGCTTTTTTTTTACAATTTTGCACTTTTACGTGCCTGCATGTTATGTAAATGCAAAAAGGCATATTTTCGAGATACTACATGTGTGTGCGTGTATGGTTGTGTATGCGTGTGTGTTCGAAAGCGAATGGACTTTATCACGCGCCTTCAACTCAACAACCAGGAAAGCTAGGAGACAGCTACCATGTTAAAACTCACGGTTGGCACCGCGCCAACTCAAAGTCTAGCAAGAAAACGGTCGCTGAAATCTTGTCATATTTACCGTCCATCTAAAAAATTGTATACCTAAATGAAATTTCGAACTGCTATCGCGACCCTAAAAGTTAATATGCTAAACTAGTAACGCGCCCTGTGTGAGTGTGTTTATGTGTCCCGAAACTTCTAGTTATATTTATTATATACAAAACTTAAGTTACACAACACAATGCTTCCAGTAAAGATTCTTCGTCATCTTTGTCATAAAGTATCACCGTTCCAAGCGCTCAAGCTCTTTTAGTTTTGACTAAAACTAGATGGACTAATAGCATTTTACATCTGTATTTTCGAAAACCACAAGATCTCTCTAGTCATTCTGAAATCAAGGGCTTCTTGCTAAGCATTGACTTTTTGTGCAGTGACATGAAATTTTAAAGTTTTGCAATCACAAAAAAGCAGTTCGAGAAATATTTCAGACCTCTAAAAAGCAGTTTTGGAGCCTGGATTTTGCTGTATCAGTATGCGGGACGTAGACAATAGTGAAGGGTGACGATCCTCACCCGCTTATACAAGTAACGACCGTTTCTGGGTGCAGCACTTGAGCATTCGCCACAGACTGTATTGGTGAGCCACTGTCACACTGGGTTTAAGTAGCGCTTGGAAGATTTTCGTGTAACGTAGCCCGATCGCTCGTATAGTCGCCGGGCAGCGTGGGGCGGGGCTAAGGTTTCGAACTACACGACAAGAACCACCCATCGTGCGATGGGTGGTTCTTGTCGTGCGATGGGCGATTGAGTGGCATTTCTGGTCTCCAGTTGAAAGCGGGTGACAAAAAGTACGACCACAAACACAGACAGGCTTTTGCCAATACGCGTTTTTACAACTTGGATACACGC